TCCATCTACTGATTAATCAATTCATCCATCCATCCATCATTCCATCCACCAAACCACCAATCCATCCATCATTCCATCCACCAAACCATCAATCCATCCATCAGTTCCCGTGGCTCTACAGCCCATATATAGATTTGACCCGCATCATCACCTACTTCCATTGATGCCACAAAATGTGTTTTCTATTTCCCACGTCTGAGCTTCAAGCTACCTACTGTCTCCACATCATCTACCTATCTGAGCCTACACCTGTATGTTAGTCATTTACCTTTTGGTCATTCCAAATCACCAAACCACCACAGACTATCTTTACTAATCTCTTCTACCATTGTAGTGTCTATGTGTATTTCATATATCTTGTGATTGGTTCGTATTCTTCATCCTGTTTCCTTGTGTGTTGATTCATAAAATTTGAGACAGTTTTTTTTTTCTTCTCTCTTACTTACTAGGTTTTTCTGTTGTTGTTTTTATTTTGTCAACATCCGGGTTCTACTGACATAAATTATCACTGCTCTTTTTGTTGTTTTATATGTTGTTTTCTGTGAGCTCATTCATACTGGGTTACCGAGGTTCTTCTTCTTCGCGTATTGTGGCTGCTATAGTATACCTTGTTGCCTGCAAAAAGTCTTATAATTCTATATAATTAAAACTGGTTTAGTTTGTCAAAGTTTCGATTTCCAATTTTTATTTATTTGGTTAGTGCGTTGAAGTAGTAAGTATGTAAGATGAAGGTTGTGTACGATACCCATTCTTTAATTAAATCTTACAGATTACAATTCTGTACGTTCCTTTTTTTTTTACCCCTGCTAGTCTGTGTCCGGTTAGAGGTATAAAAAGAAATTTTAAATTTAAGTTGTAGAAAAAAAATTGGAGGGGGGGGGGGGGGGGGCTTTAACTAACTAAGAAAAGAAGGTAGTCGTGAATTATTATTTTGTTACACCCAATGACCTTGCAGCGGGTGTCGTCATCGCACCGGAAATAACAATGACGAATGCGTCACTGATAAGCTTTTGTTTGTTTTTAATCCGTGTACGCTACACATGGCTATTTTTAGACAACTATTTTTAGACCTTCAGCGTGAGAACTTAAAAAACAAAAAATAAAATAAAAATACATTTCAAATACTTTTGTTTCTACCTGATTTTATAGAAGCGACTGTTAGAAATTGTTTATGCAATTTGTTTTAAATTTTTTTCAAAAAAAAAAAAAGCTCATACAATTATGTTTTGCTTGTTACCAGTTTCTAGTTCTGCGTCAGGCGTCACAGATGCATGTAAAACCAACGCTATCTGCATACCCTCGAGATCGTCAGGTCCTTAAGGGGTGCACTTATCTACTGGCTCTGTAACCTGCCCCCTCCCCCCCCCCCCCCCTCCCCAGTCTTGATTATTTGTACAAGATTTTTTTTTTTTTAAATCTCAATGGTTTTGAACTGTTTGTCTAAATTTAATACTTCATGGATTTTAAATGTTTTTTTTTCTTTAGCATGTTGTTGGTTCTTTGCGTGTCAAAAAAGAAGTCAATTCAAATTTAGAGAATTAATTTTTTTTGTATTTGCCTAAGCGCGGGGCTGGGGTAGGTGTGGAGGTATTATTTAAAAACCGGCGGCAGAAAATAATTACCTGGGGAATATTTGGTTATCTTAGTAACTAAATCATCGTTGGGGGGTTTTACAGGGGGAATTCCCCAGAATTTTGTGAAATGTTAAAGGAATTCAGGTTCTAAATTTTGTTTTTTAAATTGAGGATTTTAAAAAGGACATAATTGTGTGTGTGTGTGTGGGTGGGTGTGTTGGACAAACTAGATGACAGGGGAGGCAGACAAAAGGACTGGGAGTTGGGGAGTGGGGGAAGGGGGGGCAGACAGTAGGATGAGGGGGGGACAGACAAAAAGACATGGGAGGGGAGACAAGAAGACATGGGGGGAGGGGGAGAGACAAAAGTACAGGGGAGGACCGACAAGAGAGTAGGGGGGGGGGGGGACAGACAGGAGGGCGAGGGGGGGGGGGGGGTGAGGACAGAATACAGGACAGGGGGCGGAGACCAGAGGACAGGGGAGGGGAGACAGGATGACGGGGGGGGGGGGGGGAGAAAAGAGGACAGTGGAGGACCGACAAGAGGGTAGGGGGATTACTCATAAAAGACAATATATTTAGTGTACGACATGGGTTCCCAACCCCGTGCCCGCGGGCGCCATGGCGCCCGCCAAACGATTCGTATGTGCCCGCCTCTCACTATTCGACAGAGACAGAATTTTTTTCATAAACATTATTGAAAGATTGAAGGGGATGGAAATCAAAAGTGTGTTGGGGGGGGGGGGTGGGGTGCAAATCGAAAGTTTTGTCCCCAGGTGACGGGAAGGGTCGCTACGCCTCTGGAAGGAGTTTGTCGATTTAAAATAGGTGGTGCCCGCCACCCTACCGATATTTTAGAATGTACTCTCGAGTAAAAAAAGGTTGGGAACCCCTGGTGTACGAGATTGAGAGTTTATATTAGTAACCCTAAGGTGACCTTGTCATAATACTGAGCGTGATATTTTGCTGTATGGTGACATTGTTATTGGATGGTGACATTGTTTTTAGATGGTGACATTGTTATTGGATGGTGACATTGTTATTGGATGGTGACAATGTTATTGGATGGTGAGATTGTTATTAGATGGTGACATTGTTATTAGATGGTGACATTGTTATTGGATGGTGACGTTGTTATTGGATGGTGACGTTGTTATTGGATGGTGACGTTGTTATTGGATGGTGACGTTGTGATTGGATGGTGACATTGTTATTGGATGATGACGTTGTTATTGGATGGTTAAGTTGTTATGGGGTGGTGACATTGTCATTGGATAGTGACATTGTTATTGGGTGGTGATGTTGTTATTGGAAAATGACATCTTTACTAGAAAGTGACATTGTTATTGGATGCTGACATTGTTGTTGAAAAATGACATTGTTTTTGGTTGATGACAATAACCTAAAATCGCAAGAGACTTCGTTAGAAAATAACAATTTGACTTTCTGTAACCTGCTGGTTATGGTTTTTTCAAAGTTTCACCAACTTGGTTGTTTGAAGATTACCCACAACTCCTGTCAAGAATGTGATTTTTATCTACATTGTTCCTATCACAAGTAAAAAGGGAGGGCCGTACCCTACAATACAAATGAATACATCGTTGATGTGTGGGTATTCAGTGAGCTCTAATTTCTATGCAATGACGTCGTTGTCTAGGAATGCCCCCAGAAAAGGAAATGAAAATACCAGCCAATAAGGAAAGCTGAAACCAAAACAGCAAAGCGCCAAACATTGAATTTGAGATTTTCAGACGGCGACTAGCAAACAAGACCGAAATCACCAACATTCTTTGCGACATTCCAAATTTTAAAAGGCCCAAAGAACCAAAACTCTAACCAAAAAAAAAAAGGGAGTGCCGGTGTTCTCCCCTTTGTTGACATGAGTTATTTATAGCACTGATGTCAGTGACTGCTATGTAAGATGTCTGGAGAGGCAAACATGACGTCACTGGTGCGCGTTCAAACATGCAGCACTAGGAAGGGGTGTTGAGGGAGAGTGTAGGAGAGGGAGGGTTGGAGAGAAAGGGTGTGGCAGTGAAAGGGGTGTGGAGGAAGGAGGGTGTGGATTAGAAAGAGTGTGTGTGGAGGAGGAAGTGCGTGTGTGTGTGGGGGGGGGGGGGGGGTGTCTGTGTGAGGTAGGGTTGTGGACAAAGGGCGTTTGGGAGTGTGAAGAAGGGGTTTTTTGGCTTGAGAGAGGGTGTGAGGAGTGGGTTAAGAGTATGACTGTGTAATGAAGATGTGCGTTTTGTGAGGAGGGGGAATTAATAATTATTTAATGTGAGGAAGGAGGAACCGTGTTAGAAGTTAAGCAGAGAGCAGAAATGAAGAAATATGTCCGGTGGAGCAGTCTAGAGACGATAGGGGGGGGGGGGTCGTGATGGTTGGTTGCAGGTTGTGGTAAAGGTATGGATGCTTGGAGGGTGGTGGATGTTTTGGAGTGGTGAAGGGATGGATGTTTGAGATGTGTATACTGTGAGGTGAGGGTGGTAGTGGTTGGATGGATGTTTGGTGGGTTAAATGGGAATATGTCTGAGTATAGATTTATAGGATTTTTTTGGTGAATGAGTGATTGCATTAAAAATGTAACCAGCTTGACTCATGAACTCTACTTCCTTTAGTCCCCGTGTGTCCAGTTCTACGACCGACTACTCGTGTGTCGTGTTCTTAGGGTCTAGCTCCAGCAGTCACAGGGCAGGAGTGCCACATTGTTCTAGGTGCTGGTGGGAGGGGGGATGTATCATATCATTGACTGATTTGTCTCATAGTGTCAGCTGAGGGTGACATGATGTCAGTGTAAGCACCACCCATTTCAAAGACTACTCCACCCCTTCAGGGTTCTAAACTGGTTTTAAATCTTCGAAGTTCGCTTTGGATTAGTTAGAGATTAGTATCAGCTATTTTAGAGATGTGAATTCATGTTTTGTCTGCCTGGCACTCTGAGCCATTTCAATCACCTGCTACCAAGTGCCCAAAGACTTTTTCATATTTATAACAAGTTCTTGTTTTTATCTTCATGCTCCCACTTTTGAGCACCTCCCTCATTTGCTATTTTGTTTTGTTTTTTTTCAGCCAGATTATATATATATAATACATACATATATATATATAAATACATTTCTGTTACTATTGTTACCATAAGTGATAAATATTTTAATATATTAGAATTAGTGTACACATTTCTTAATGAAGCTAATTGTGTGTTACTATTATAAGTACACGCTTTCTTAGTTAACATGAACAACACCTACACTACAACTTAATAGAAGATGCTGGTAGTACAATTGTCATAGGTTCAGATATATACAGGTGTACAGTTGATGTCAGCAATCTTTGACATACTGTAATTTGATGTTCTGTTGTAAATGACATGTAAAAAAATTATGAGCAGTACACTTGACACAAATAAACAAGAAAAAAAAATGTTTTAAAAATTTCTTTTTTTAATGTATATTCCATGTTGATTCATCTAAATAAACCATCAGAAGTAGACATAAACCTTACACATATGCATACACACATCACACATTAAGTATTTCATTGGTACCGTATCTCAAAGATATATACATTTTCACCTGCGCTCTCGTTCAGTCATAAATTAACTATAACAGGTATTCAAATTCATATATACAATGTTAAGTCGCGCTAACTTTTTTTTTTTTTTTGGAGTTACCAGTTCTAGAATGTTGACAGTTGGGTGCAGTAGCACCCACATAGCAGTCTCCTATCACTTAATAAATAATGCCCAGGTGTTTGCCATATTTCTCCTCACAGACCCCGGGTCCCTCCCATTTCTCCTCAGGGGTCTCCCATTCAATGGGGATAGAAAGTCAAAGGTAAGCAATGTGTAAAGATCACATGTAAACAACAACAACACTGGCTTAACACAAGTGTTTCAACTCTAGAGCTCTCCACGCTCAGAGTTTTCAAAATTTACTACATTTACAACTAATGTAATGGCTCTCCGTACTCCAAAGTTTGTAAAAATGTATTACATCTCTAATTACAATAGTGGCTCTTCATACTTCAGAGTTTAAAAATGTATTACAATTACAGAAAAAGCTCTCTGTATGCAAGAGTTTAAAAAGGCATACTACCTATAGTAAGAGCTCTCCACACTGAAAGTTTAAATACAATTTAACAGCTGTAAATTCTAGAATGTATTTTAACTCTTAGACAGCTGCAAGTTTAAAAAAAAAATACAACCATAGTAACAACTTGTAGCTAGTCCTCTATCACACCGTAGCATTATATACATACATACACTAGCATTATGTACATAAGGAGTCACCTGTCTAGTTTTCAACTCTCACTTCAGTGTAGCTAAGCATCCATCAACATGCATACACAAATCATACTATGCACTCAGTATAAGTTAATAAAAAAATGTACAAGAAAAAAGGTTCCAATGAAAATGAGCAGTTGAATAAATTAATGGGGGAATGATGGCTAATGCATTGAGATCAAATCTTACCAGGACTGAAAATAAATTTGTATTTACCACTGAGGACTACATACAATTTCGTGAATAGAGTGGCTTGAACTCAGGGGGAAATAAAAATACAAGAATCAGTAAAATTACCAATGGTAAGATAACGCTGTAGATTTAGAAAATTGATTCCGGTTACAAGACTTCACAGTTAACCCTAACCCGCTCAAGGTAACTAAGCTTTCAGCCACGCTAACCCAAAACATTACTGGTTAAGAATCAATGACAGATGCTGTATACAATCACAGGCATACCAAGCCCCTAATGGCATTATCTCTCTATACATGATCATTTACATACATATATGCAGGTAGAATAAGAACCAGACTGATATTTGGGACAACGTCGTACTTAAAAATTTTGAGTTAACACCAGCCCTATATTTTGGGTAGCAGAGTCATACATTTAAGTAATACCAAGAATGATACTACGGGTATTACCAAAAGTAATACTTGGTTTAACACACACAATAAAAAAAAAACCTGCTGTTGAACACTTAAGATCTGATTCATCTCATACAGTTTTGAACAACACACATGACCAGGAGTATACTAACAGATGCAGCATTTGAATACCTGATTCTAAATGATGGGACAGAGCAGCCGAATACCAGCTTCTTATGTTATGATACATACAACACACTGCTCTTGGTCACATATAGCAGACTCCCCCAAACATAACACTGACCCTTTCATAATTTACAGTGATCGCTTGCCCACACTCTTACAGACATGAAAGTGAAATGAGTTAGCATGCATAGAATTTTTTTTCCTTCATATTTACATGCACGTTTTTTAAAACATAAAAATGCAAGGGCTGCCCCATCACCTCTCAAGATTTACATTTCCTCATGCCCTAATGTTGTTTTTTTTTAATAAATAAAACAGCTGCTGTGGGGAGTAAATATAAACAGTAGGTGGACAACGTCCTGGTGTAGCTTGTGGTCACCCAGACCGCGAGTGGACACGTCCCTAAATCTTATTGCAGCGGTCCCGATATGGAGCACCATCACAGAAATGTCAGCCTTGTGTCTGGGACTGACCAGCCCGGGTTCCTCGGACTGACCAGTCCGGAGTCTTTGGCTGGGTCAGTTGTTTTTTTTTAGTCCTAGGTTTATTTAGGAATGGTCAGCTTTAGTCCTATGGTCTTTCAGGTCAGAATTCTGAATTCCTTAGGTCAGATGGCCCTGGGGTCTTCAAGCTGGCCAACCTAGAGGATCAGATGGCCCTGGGGTCTCCAAGCTGGCCAACCTTCAGGATCAGATGGCCCTGGGGTCTGCAAGCTGGCCAACCTTCAGGATCAGATGGTCCTGGGGTCTTCAAGCTGGCCAACCTAGAGGATCAGATGGCCCTGGGGTCTCCAAGCTGGCCAACCTTCAGGATCAGATGGCCCTGGGGTCTGCAAGCTGGCCAACCTTCAGGATCAGATGGCCCTGGGGTCTTCAAGCTGGCCAACCTTCAGGATCAGATGGCCCTGGGGTCTCCAAGCTGACCACCCTTAAAGTCATAGGTGTTAAATCGTGGCTGGGTCAGCCTTGTATTCCTGGTGTGTAATGGCTGGATTGCACGGACGGGTGTTTCACTGGCACATGTATATACTGAAAAAAAAAAAGTAAAAACTATTGTCAGAAAAGTCAAGCAGTAATTTTTTTTTTATTTTAAAATGCATAACAAATAGCTGATAAAACGTTTATTTTCGTAACTACCCCCCCCCCCCCTCCCCAAATAGTTTGCAGCAGCCGTATCTCGCCCTCGCTCGTACACACACACACTCCACAGCGTAAAACTGCTCGCTAGCCCAGCTATTTTCGTCCACAAGGGGAGCACATCATGGCTTCCTACAGCACGCGATTAGAAGCCCTCGTGTCCGCTAGAGGCCGCGGCAATGGGGAAACTAGGTCACGAAGCGTGTGTAAACGCGAACGGGCCACGAGAAGGGAAAAAAAACATGCTAGGCTAAGCGGGACGGGAAGGGGTGTGTTTGTGGTTTTCTTAAAGGAAAGGTAATACATTGAGGGGGAAAAAAAGAAGGGAAGAAAACAGACCACTTAAGCTAGTTTTAGCTGTACTACGTTGTAGCGTAATCTAGGCCAACATTTAGTGTCACTTTTCCCAAGGTACCCCGCGCGTGGATGTGTAACCTTGAAGCATCGGGGGAGGGAGGGGGAAGCTTAGGCCTTTACCAAATAAGGTCATGGGTAAAATGGGCCATCTAACCTTTTGTTAAACCCAACAAGGGCTCCAACAGCTGAACGCTGTTTTGTACAATAATCGCAACATGCACAGATGTTTAATGTCCAGTATAAAATAAAGTTGCTAAAGTTTTCAAAAAAAAAAAAAAAAAAAAAAAAAACTAAGTGGTAGGTATTTTTTTCTTCTTGTTAAAGTATCAAGTTTCATTCCATCCCTTTTTCTTTTCGATATTAAAAAAAAATATTTCTGAATTAATTTTTTTACGTTTTTTTAAAAAAAAAACCTTTTAAATTTATTTTAGCTACTCCGTTTTCTGATTTTAAAAATAGAAGCAAATATTGAATAGGTTTTTATTTTTTTATTAAGTAAACTACGGACTAAAAAACAAGCAGAATCGACTGATCTAATGGAAGATGACTACCCGGGAGGGACATCATTAGGGGAGAAACATAATTTACTACCATACACTTAAACTTGAAGAAAAGTTGAACAAATGAGCAGCAAAATCCGAACAAGCAAGATCTGAATCTACACTTCATAGACAATTGCTTGAATTGCAAATAACGAGACCCATCCCAAGAACTAACAATTTTATAATGAAGAGAAAACAAACTTACTTAATCAATAATCTTATCTCTGTGGATCCTTGTTATTTAGTGCTTGCTTCTTCTTGTTTGGAAGATAATCTGAAGATGAAATAGAAAGTTGATGGTTAAAACAAATGCGACTATGTTGAGTCAGTAAGGAGGTCGTGTAAAGGGGGGGGGGGGGGGAGGAAGAAGGGCGTGCACAACAGTACATATGTTACTTTGGATCCCTAGACATATGTCCATGACAGTAGCAATTGTGACGTTTATATCTCTACAACAGTACCAATGCTAGTTTGGACCTCACTATAACAGTACCAATGCTAGTATGGACCTCACTATTACAGTACCAATGGTAGTTTAGACCTGACTACAACAGTACCAGTGGTAATTTGGACCTCACTACAACAGTACCAATGCTAGTATAGACCTCACTTCAACGGTACCAACGGTAGTTTGGGACGCCTTGTTCAACACAGCACGTGACACAGGTTGCCGACGACAAAGAAATCAAAACACGCCGTGTATCGATTCCCCCACGCGATGGACAAAGACATGTGCTGGGGCACGAGTGGCCCTCGGGCGGTAAACAGGTCGGTCCGGTACGGACAGCACCAGTTTATTTTCTGACAACCGCTGCGCCTAAGTAAATATCGACAGACACTGTGTACTGTCTGCATAGTTTGTCACTTTTCCCATGATTAAGAAAAAGTTATGCGTAATAAGTAGATCTAGATTCTAAATGGCTAGATCTAGTAATTAAAATATCACAATGATGATTTCTGGATCTAATCTAGAGTAGATCAGGACTAACACAATTAGATCTATATATTAATTTAACAGCGGCGATCTTAACTTCTATGAATGGTTAGTAAGCTGAATTATATTTAGAATAAAGATTAAGGTAAAACAACATCTAAGATACTACGATCTATTAGAAGGAATATATTATGAATAAATTAACCCAGATTTCTATTAACTGCTTATTACATGGATGATTCTATTTATAGACCATCGATGATGCATGAGCAATTTATAGCTTGTGTAAAATATTCCTAAAGTAATTAAAATCCTCTAGATCTAGATCTACACAAAATTTGTAAAGCATCATAAGAGCCAAACAGGCATTAGGAACAGATAACGTACCTGTCATTTTTTTCTGACATTGTTGCGATTGAGTGGGGGTCACGTAAATAGTCTGCTGAACTCGCACGTCACTTGATGGGGACGACGCCGGCAAGAGCCTTGGGATGGACGTTCGTCCGAACGAGTCCGGTTCGACGGGCGAACCCAGGCGACTCTCACACTCCTTGCTCTTAACAACCTCCAGGCATACGACTTTGTTATCCACTATGTTCTCTTGCTCGTCCAAGTTCAGCTTTCTCTTGGCCGAGAACGGTTTTAACCGACGATTATCCGAGCGGGTCGTCGAGTGCGTTATATGCCTCTGAGAGTAAGATTTAGTGTAAAATGCTGGCACGTACTCGCCGGGTGAAAACGGCAAGCATTCGAATTTACCACCAGGAACTGTGCAGTCAGATTCTGGGTCGAAGCCCCAACTCGCCTTGAAGCGCTCGGTTTCTGTTCTCGTTATCTCCTTGTCCTGCATTTCCAGATGAAAGTTCAGCTTCTCCTTGTCGATGGGAAACAGACAACGCACAGCTCTGCTTTTCTTATCCTCGGACATGGTGAGTTGTTCTATCCTAGTGGACATTGTCGTTAGACGAAAAATATAAACAAATGGGTTAAGAAAAACATAAACACAATTTCCAACGCCAGGCCTGAACACATCGAGGTACACACAACTTATGTTGATGAGGAGAAAATGTTCGAGTTTTATGCCGACGATTCTGTCCAACCAGCGCGAAGCCACGTGACTACGACGGACGATTTTCATTGGCGGCTGTGTAATGAGTCAATGGGACGAGGCGAGTGAGAGGCGGCGGGCAAAGGGAGAGAACCGCCACGCCGCAGTTCGTGCAACAACATGTCGTTGTTTATTTCAGCATCGACAAGCCGATGGATGAAACGCTGTGTGACCTTGCCTACGTTTAAAGGTGATTTAAGTCAGCAATCAAAATAATCGACGCAATCGCCGAGTGTAATCGCGCCCTGATTTTTTTTTAAATCCGTCGAAATTTTAATTTTTTTTTTAGTCGGATATTTTTTTTTTACATACATCGAACAAAGAAGTAAACAAACGCTAGACAACAATACTGTACTAATGCGCGTGCACAGCGTCACTCTCCCATCTACTAGTCGTAACATCCCCCCATTCACCCAACGTTTCATTCAGTCAGCCTCTGTTCCAGCAAAGCGCGGCAAACCTTTGCTGACGAATCGATTATGTTCCCGTTATGGATCTGAGGCCCGAAACTATGCCGCGGTTTAAAGGGAAGCCTTTCTTACCTGTCTGTGATTGGCCTTGGACTGTAGAAGCGGTAAGTCGGATCACAAACCCAAACATGTCCGCGGTGTTTCCTCGTACGTTCCCCACTCCCCCCCAAACTTGCCTCGACATGAAAATTTTAAACGTTGAATGGGTTTCGGATCGCGGCACATTTTTAAAACCCTCGCTCGCCCCTCGATAAGGTCGTATCACTACAGCGATGATTTCCTGGTGATAACCCAGCACTTTGAAATAATTTCACCTATTAAATCACACACACTGATTATTTTAAAACAGCTGTTAAGCCACAATGTTACTTTCCCGTGCAGTGGTACCAAACAGCCATTACCAAGCCTCTAACTCAAGTGTAGTACTATTAAATGTGTTATCGATTAATGAAGAAAGATTCAATTTAACCTTCTGTTTTAATTACACAAATGCGCGACCTGGTGGTATTTCCTCACGGAAAAATATCATTTCCTTTGTGTAACTTCAACGGTCCTGAGTTCGTGTAGAGTCGCATGCTTCATCCCCCCCCCCTCCCAAAAAAAAAAAAAAAAACTAACGCTCCTTGGCAGGGCCCAAAAACTAACGGTGATCTGACGTGACCTAATTAGCCCATCCGCGCGTCCCCCACCCCTCTCCCTCTCCTCGGCCCACGCTTTGCACTACAACTTCAAGGCTCGTGAAATCAGCGACCAAAATAGAACAGAGATGGTTGGATCATTGTCTGCTGGTTTCACGTCCAAAGTTGTTGTTACTCGTGAGACAGACCAAAGTTGTCGCACGGCAGTCCTAAGTTGTCGTAGAGCATTCTAAAGACTGCTGATCGACAAAAATGTATATGTCGCAGAATATAGCATTACAATTTCTTTGTTTTCCAACGTAAAGGTTATTTTTATTCAAATCTTTTTATAAATGACCCTGACCCTATCTGCCCCCTTCCTCCTCTTCCTCCATTCCACTAAAGACAGTAGACAACGCATTTAGATGACGTGCGACAACCTTGGGTTTTGATGATCAAACTATCAGTTGGGTGGAGCGGGAGTGTGCCACCAAGACTGCGCGGCGTGTAGCACTGAACTCACAAACTACACGCCGCGAACCTAAACAAGTGCATGACAACACGACACATCGTGGGATGTAAACAACCGTGACGTCACAACAATGGCCGCGAAAGTTTACGTCGAGTCTGCGTGTAGATTCCCTTGTGTAGGAAGTGTTGAATGGTTGCGAGCGGTTATGCACATATATACGGTAACAAAAGTAATACATCTGGGACGCATCACCTCCACTCCCCACCCCACATATTTGCACAGACTACAACTCCTTGTATAACAATTCAAGACCCCCACACCATATTCCCAACACACATAAAACATCGTTTATTTAAAAACTTTTACTCAATACCCATTACTAGATCTAATGTTATTTCTCAAATGTTTAAGTAATTTTTTGCGCTGCATACATTTTCAGAAAGTCTTCGGGAAATGAAAAAAAAATGAAAGGAAATTCACCAGGAAATAAGAGGCGGAAATGTTTTTTTTTTTAAATATTGAATTGATTAAAACAAAAGTTACATAACACGTCACTCGACCACCAAACACCTCACACTATAACAACATGATAAACCCCCACACTTGTCCTGCATGGGGTTTATCGATAATATTTACAAGATTCCCCCACCCCCACACCTTACCCATACATGTGCTATAATATGTACAAGACCCCCACCCTACCCATACATGTGTTATAACACGTACAAGACCCCCCCGCCACCCTACCCATACATGTGTTATAACACGTACAAGATCCCCCCCCCCCCACCCTCCGCTGCATGTGCTCTAATATGAAAAAAATCACACCCCCACCTTACCCATACATGTGCTATAATATTTACAAGACCCCCCCCCACACCCTACCTATACATGTGTTATAACACGTACAAGATCCCCCCCCCCTTCCCCACCATCCGCTGCATGTGCTCTAATATGAAAAAATCACACCCCCACCATACCCCGTGCGTGTGCTATAATATGTACAAGATCCCTCCACCTACCCATACAAGTGCTATAAACTGTACAAGATCCCTCCACCTACCCATACATGTGCTATAAAATGTACACGATCCCTCCACCTACCCATACATGTGCTATAAAATGTACAAGATCCCTCCACCTACCCATACATGTGCTATAAAATGTACAATATCCCTCCACCTACCCATACATGTGCTATAAAATGTACAAGATCCCCCATAAGCTGCAATAGAGCAACATTTGCGGTACAATAACAATCACAACAAATAATTTTCAAGTCTAGTTTTTTTTTTAAATTATAAACCCAAATGTTGGGTGCTGAAATATAATAATCTGTGTGCCATTATATAATAGTTTGTGACTTAATCGTGTCTGAATTGCGTTTCTCTGATAGGTAAACGGATATGCCACTTCTGTTACCTTGTGTACCGTCTAGCTGTATCTCGGTCTAAACCTGAACCTGACCTACAGGGTGAAGGGTATCGTGACGAGTCGCACGTGCATACAGAAAGGGGGGGGGGCATTTTGTTATAGGGTGATGTAATATATCTCTGGCTTTGTTAATCTTGAAACTACGGGCTACATATTCTTTCTTTGATTATTTAAACACGTCATATGCAGATGTAACATGCCATTTTCTATGGAAAATGATACGGTTCCTGTATTGAAAAATCCCATTTTTAAATTTTCTCTATGTGTGCCTTTGTTTTTTGCTTTTGTTTTAGTGATGAAGGCTCCTGGATAATATGCGGGCTGATGGTCTATGTGGAAATACGATAGGCTTATGTAATGTTATACATTGTACGGAGTGATCGAATAGTAGAGCGTTCGACTGCTAACCCGAAAGTCTCGTGTTCGGGTCCCATGCTAGAGTCGCAGAGTCCACCTAACTATGATGAATACCTGACTCACGTTAGGGAAAGTAAAGACGTCTGGGCATAGTGCTGACCACACTATCCCTTCATAAACCGAGGTCAATTCTACTTCACTTGCCTAGTGGGCCGCAAGGTTCGAAAGGGAACTTTAATGTAACACATTGTATTTGGGTGGGTCAAATTGATTTTCTATTTTGTCTTAGATAATATATACACAATCCCTAGCTTTCCACCGTTTATGTACGTGTGTTTAGGTTCAGTACGTCATTAACTTAACGCTGCGGTGGCATATTTTTTAACGGCAAACGGAAATTAATTAAACAATTCCCCCCTCCCCCTCCTCCACTCTATTTAAGTGTCGTCGGTTTGCAAGAGCAGTCAGGAAACGCACAAAGTATCGAATTTTCCAGAAGCTAAACTATCGTCAATTGTGTTTCACTTGCGTAACTATTTCATTATTTTTTAGGCTTGCGACATTCAGTTTTAAACTACTTCCTGCCGTCTGCCCGCTCAGTAGCAGACGACGTCCTGTTGAAATTACTTCCCCCCATGAGCGAGTCAAGTATAAAAAAAGGAACTATTTCCCAAAAATATTCTGTTACAAAATCACGCACTTTCGAGATAAATTGTCGTTTTGATAACACGTGCAGTTAAACTACGCTGATGGTATTTCCTGTTCAATTTAAACACATGGTAAAATTACATTTTTTTTTCAACCACCCCCTCCTTAGTCGAAATTGGAAAATAATACATTTAAACAGAACATATAGACTTTAACCATAGTGGACCGCCCCCCCCTCCCCCACTTCCTCTCTAGTGGAAAAATGTTTGAAAGAAACCCTGCAAGTCGGGGTCAATACACAAGTTGAAGTACACATCTGTTAATTTGACCAGGTCCTATGAAGTCATTGTGTGGTCAGCATTTCTGTCCTCCCAACCCTACCTGACTGGGGTCAGGTACACATTGCGACCAGCGAAAACATTGGGCATTCCTTCCTTGGAGGTCATTCAATTAAAATACGTGACACAAAATGGTTGGGGATATTTCATGTCAAAAGCGATTTGCGACCATGGCAAATAATGACACTTGTGAATTCTGATCCTACTGTAGAAGTTGACGTTTTGACGATTGAAATAAGCTTGGAATATGAAATATTTTCCGAATTCAGAATCAGCTATTTTAGAGTAGATGAAGTAAAGCTCGAATTATGCCTTTCTGTTATGCTCATTTTACCCAGTTCTTACATTGTTGTACTCATTCTACCCAGTGCTTGCATTCTGCAGATGTATGCCTGCCTTTCATTATCGGTTTTTTTTTTTGTCTTTTTACACCTTTGTGTAAAACGTAGAGATTATTATGTTAGACCAGAACTAGAACTAGAGTTAGTACATAAGCTGCTATGGTTCTAGTACCACACCACATGAGGTGCTGTAGAACTAGCACAACAAAAGGTGTTATAGAACTAGGACACGCAAGGTGCTGTAGTACTAGCACATAAAAGGTGCTATGGATCTAGTACCCCACCA